GTTAAAAACATAATATCTTTCGTTTCTTTTACAAAAAGCTAAATAATGACCTGATGATAAACTACCCATATGACACACTACACCAATAAGTATATAAGACTTATCATTAACAGTTAATTCCTTTTCTACTTCTATTGGAGTGGTATTTTTTTGAAATGAGCTATTAATATTATTAAACCTGTTTAAGTAAATAATTATATAACTTGAAGTATCTAAAATATCATGTTGAATCTGAGCAGAAACTCTTTTCATACATTTATCACACGTATACGGAGAATCATCATCAATATCATCAATATGTTCAACATAATATTTCAAAGAAGTATGAACATTTTTCTTTATTAAAAGATGGTGAATATTTGAATGAAATTTTCTAGGAGAAGTATAATTACACTCAAGACAGATGACAGTATCTTCAGTTTCTATAGCAAATAATTTTTCAATTGGTGAATCTTTATTTTCTTCTATAAATTTATCTAAAAGAACATTAAAAAATTCGTGAGCATCTTCCTGTCTGCCTCTAAACAAAGGAATGTATGTTTTTATCTGTTGAATAAATTTAGAAGGATTGTAAGAGTGAGAAGAAGCTTTATAATCACCAACAAATTCTTGAAGTAAATATGAAATCGGTTGAGAATTCCTATCAAATTTTGTTTTCATAACAAATCTAGTAAAATCATCAATTGATAATAAACATTGCATAGATGAATTAAAGAAACAAGTATTAACATTATTAAGAAGACCTTTAGGTTTTAATTGATTTTCAACAGCAAGTTTTACCATAAAATTAGGGGTTAAAAACATTTGAAACAAATCTAACAAATAAAAATTAAAGCTTTTATAACAGTTAAGAATTAATGTTTAGATAGAGTTAGTTATTTAAGTTTAAATTTTAATATTTTGATCAATAAAATTGTGTTTCAAACCAACCTTTGAAACAATGTTAGAAAATTAAAATAAAAACAATTTTTCAGTTTCATATATGTTAAAGCTATTAAAAGATATGTTATATTTAAGTAATGTAGATGCAGGTGTTGTAAACACTAAGATTATTGTGGAGCCTGAAGCATACGAGATTTCAAAAATAGAAAATGCAAAAAATCCTATTTTACTAGATGCTGCCAAATATAAAATGGTACCTACTTTTATATTTACAATGATAGTAAATCCTAATACTATTGATTGTGTCATTCCTCCTCCTATAATGACGCTTTTCAACACTTTTGTAATCAAAAGTATGGACTGTCCCACCGTCTATCCTCTATGGACCCATTATGCTTATAGTAAGTTCCCCGGATATTCTTGTTACGATTCTGATAAAATTCTTAGACATTTTAATCCTAATTGCAATGACAATAGTGGTGGAAAGTGTCCTGAAGGTTATAAAAAAATTAGTCTTAAAGAATTTGCTGATAGAACTGATGCTGAATTGGATAAACTTGTTGAATCTTCTGCTATAGGTCCACAAAAGAAGAAAAAGGGTAAGAACTCTCACAAGAAACAATCTAGTAAAAGCAAGGAAGAAAATAAAGATAAAGAATCTCAAACTAAGGATGAAAATAATAAGGATGATAAAAAAGATAAAGAAACTAAGGATGTTGAAAAGGAAAAAGACCAAGAAGAGAAAAAGGACAAAGAAGAGAAAAAACCTGAAGAAAATAATAATGAGACTGTTTGAAGTTAAATTAAATTAAATTAAAAAAGTTTTTTATTCTTTGTTGATACATACATTAAAGTTTCCTTTTTTCATTCATTGCTTTTCTCTTTGCATAATCATTCAAATATTTTTTTACTTTCTTTGTTAGGCATGCATTATAATATTCCTTATTTGGATGTTCTATTTTTACTGTTTCTTCTGTTGTGTCTGAATCATTTTTATTGTGTTTCTTTAACCAGTTTGAATAATCTTCAAAGGAATCTTTTGAGTCATTTGAATTCGTTTGCATGCTTTTATGAAGTAATCTTGAATTAAAATTTTCATTCTTTCCTTCTATTGATGTTAACAATCTTTTTATTTTATCTGATTTACTTTCTTTTTTATCTTTCAAAACATAATTATCTAAAATCAACATTAACTCATCTTTAGTTACGTATTCTTCTTTATAATTTTTTGATTTTTTCTTTCTTTCTAATTTCTCCATAATTTTCTTTTTCTCAAAATACTGCTCTCCATCTATTCCAAGTTTAGTTAGTGCTTTTTTATGATTTGAATTTTCTTTTCTTTTTTTATCTTTTGATTTATGTTTCTCTTTGATTACTTCTTCACTACTTTCACTATCAGTTGTTGACTTTTCAATTTCGGCGCTACTACTTGAATTGTGTTTATCTTCTGTTGTATCTCCAAAGAATAAACTAGAAACTGAACTTCCATCTTCTGAATCACTTAACTCAGCTTTCTTTATCGTCTTTCTTTTATTTTTTTTCTTAACACACTTTGAACCTTTATTACGACTA